ATTATGTAGGGAAATTATTATTGTAGTAACAAAAACATCTCTGTGTGGCTCTGGGCCTTGATGAATCTTCTTCGTTTGACGAGCAGAGAAAGGCAGCGCCGCATTTCGCCAGCTAATTAAGTGCCGCAGTCTCATTACGGCTTGCACTTTATCAGACATCGACAGCTCGAGGCCCCCGTGGTCATCGTCCGCTGTAGACCAGCTCCGAAGCACTCGTATGCACCTCAAGAGGCATGGCGCATCTCCTCGTTTCCCGCCCTGTTGTCGTAGAGCGATAACTTCCTGTCCTTTAGCCTCGGGACAAGTGCACAAGAGTCATTATCTCGCCGACTCTTTCCCCGCACGTTCTCTTTTGTTTATCCATCGGCCTTGTCCTCGGAGGAGCTCCACTTTCCCACTCCCGGCTGATGCTCCTGGCATATTAAATATTCTCTGGCTGTCCTTTCCGTGCTTCTGTTGGCGTAGCACGGCTTTATTTGCAAGGTCTCTGTATTTCCCTGCATCTCAGGAGGTCAGTGATTGCTGCTAGTTCTCGTCGTTACCAGGGAGATGGTTTGCAGAGAGAGGGAGGCGTAAATACTGTAGAGGAATGCCGACAATTGGAGGAGGTGATGTGCGACAGTTACCCATCTGTTGAATTGTACATTATGATGAATTGCGTGTGCCTAGAACATTATTGATGCCCCTCTGCCAACACATCAAACTTGAAATGCAAATGAGCGGTAACTACAGAACGGGGCGAGTGCCCGGCGCGCTTCAAGGACACGCTCATTACCGTAGCGATGCTTGTCGAGAGCGAATGCCAATCACTCTCGTCTCCGGTTTGCCGTGGCGTGGCGGGGCGGAGGCCGCGGTGGCTCACGCAGAGCAACATCTGCTTCCACCCTTCCTCCGAAATCACCCGGATAAAACTCAGGATCGTTATTTGCATTTTGAATTGACGGGAAGGGCAGGTATCCCAGTAGCATCTCTTATCAGTGATTATGACACTGGCGTGCTAACGGTGATTCAACAGCAATTTCACAGCCCAGAGAGCTCGGAATAATTGTCTTTTTCCGAGTGATTGAGTTGAGCTCTGCGAGTGTTGATTTCCACCTCCTCGCATCGGCTAAACTGATATGAACCTGTGGCGGGAGCGTTCTTTTATACCCACTTATAATCCCAGTATTGTGCGGGTCACAGGGAAAGTTAAAACTGGGTTGTTCATTCTGTAGATCAGTGGGAAACTGGATGGTACTGTTCCCTGAGCATTTATCTCCCAAAAAACATGTAAAATGGTTTTATCCTTACAAAAATCACTGTGCTTTTATAGCTATTTCATGGTAATTGTAATTTTAAGGCACTTCAAAGAATGCAGTGGTTTTATTTTTTGTATTACCATCATGGTAATATCCAGGGTATATTTTTAAGATAATGTCATGCATTGCAAAAGGCATGAAAACCAGTGGCATTTTAGCCACATTCTACTGTCAAACTACTCTGGGTTTAAATGTCATGAGTGCATTTTGTTTTTCTCACAATCCTTAAAGAGAAAAAGGGATTAAAAAAATCATTATAATTGTATGTTTTGACTTGAAACAAAGTTAGCTACAACGAAATATTCTGTAAGCACAGGATTATATCTGCATTAAGTAGTTATGACTAAAAACAGCCTTTGCATCATCAAATGTTCAGAATAGCATTTTTCTGTATGAAGCATGTATTATGTGTATGTTTTGTGTTTGGTATACACACAAAGCTCTCTGCTGAATAATGTATCCCATAATGCAATGTGCTTGACTTAACCTTCCATTCCCAGCGTGGTGAAGGGCCTTGAGGTAATTTTTTCCCCCTACATTATTCAATACTCATTCAATCAGTATATCAGCTAAACTTGAGTTTAACGTGCAGCATAATTAGTGGATATAACAGTGTATATAAAATGTAAATGCAAAATTTAAATGAACCCTTGAATGGCCTTTAAAAGCATAGTTCAAACTAAAATGTACTCTTCCTTTCATTGTAATTTTGAATGTCATTTCAGTATGCATTTCTTTCCTCTGCAGAAAAAAATGTCTTGTTTTTCTTATGAAAAAAAAAAAAAAAATTTTAGGCAAATTATCTCTTTAAATGGAATAATTTCCATTAATCAGCACAGATTTTGTCCCAATATCTACGGATAAATCATTCTGTATGTATGTCAGCCTACCACTAAATATAATGTTAACTTGAAAATACTTTAGTAAACTAAATGTATAAGACGTTTATCATTCCATATTGGATATTATTTCACACACTATTGGGCACCTTGATATCAATTTAACATCAAATATTAGTCAAGACTTGATCAAGATACTGTAACATCATTTTAAATTCAGTTTGGGTGGCAATTTCTTCCGCTGGTAATTGGGTGAAAATTGTGTGCTGGTTTCGTCTGGCCAGAGAAGATGGATAGAGTTTTGGTTCTTTCTACATACAATTTTCATATTTAATACTGTAAAGCTGCGTTCACACAATCTGTATTGTAAAAAGCGATATATAAATAAGGTTGGAAGTTAATCCCACACCTGAAATTGGTTTAAGAAATACATCAAATGCATCTCCTTCCCTATTTATGGTATTAAATGAATATTTTGATATCAATTTTGAAAGATATAGGCCAATATGTTTGTCGTTCAATTTACATCAATCAACTTTTGACGTAAATTTGATTTGCATATTTGACCTGTTTTTTGACATCAATTTTAATGTCAATTTAATTGCCCACTATTTATAAAATGGGCAGTATTCAGTATGTGTATAGTAGGCACCAGTTGTGCGCAATCAAAAATACGGGAAAAAAAAACACAACACGAAGTTATTATTCTAATTCTGCGGTCAGAAATATTATACTTGTTGATTACTTAAATATAACCGTCTGCATTCAAAGTCATAAGTTAAATTTACCTCAGAAACATTTTAAAATGTAATTTTACCTCACCCCACGACGACCGTTGACCGGCTCGCTGTGAACTTCCTCCGCCACCGAACTTCCTCCTCGCGCTGTTCCCTCCGCCGTATCGGTTAGATCCGGGTAGTTTCTCTTCGCGGAGACTCAAATCGCATCAGTGGGCGACTGCAAACACACGCAGCCTCATCTCAGCCGCTGTCATCAGGGACAAAAGCCACCAGCAAACACTCACCACACCTGGATCTCTTAAAGCCGTATATTTCCACCTGATGAGAGAGAGTGTTTTGCAGGGAGCAGTGATGGGCGCGTTTGGAGTGATTCTGAGGAGTTTACATTGTATGGGACTCTACATCCAACTTAGTGCCAGTCTCAGACAAGCTGGAAGCGACGACGTGGAGAACCATTTATCCAACAACGGTAAGATGTGTGGGCTCGATCCGGTTCTGTACTTGTGAACGGGTTTGTGGTTCGTTAACGGCTGTCATTTGAAGCCGAACTGCGCGCGAGCGGCACAATGATGGA